ATATATATATATATATGGCACCAGTCTTAGGAGCTGGGGCAAAGGCTTCACTCTTGGATTTGCATTTTACTTACTGTGGTGGTCTGAATGAGAATGTCACCCATAGGCTCCAAGTATTTGAATGCTTGGCCCCAGTTGGCAGTGCTGTTTGTGGAGGTTTAGGAAGTGCATTCTTGCTGGCGGAAACAAGTCACTGGGGGGCAGGCTTTGAGAGTTCATAGCCTTGCCCCATTTCCAGTTTCATTTTGTCTGCTTCCCATATGCGTTTGAAGATCTGAGCAATCAGCTTTTTGCTCTAGCCTCCTCTGCCACCATGCCTTTCCACCATGATAGACTCAAATAAACCACTCTTCCTTCTCTAAATGGCCTTGGTCATGGCATTTTATCATAGCAACAGAAAAGTAACTAATACACTTACTAATTGATACTGTATGAGTTAATTCTGTTATCTGCCCCTCATTTCCATTATTTGTAAAATGTCAATTCCTGTTATGATTCACAGGGGGTTGGCAAGACTGAACTGAGATGAAGGAAAAATAAAAATATACCTATTAGGAATATAATTGATGGAGGGCTGGAGAGATGGTTCAGTGTTCACAACACTTACTGTTCTGAGAGGACCCAGGTTAGGTTCCTAGCACCACATGGCAGTTATCACTGGTTCTTAACTCCAGTTCCAGGGGAACTCAACACCCTCTTCTGGCCTCCACAGGCACCAGGCACGCATGTGGTGCACTTACATTCAGGCAGACAAAACATTCACACACATAAAAAAAGAAAATCTTAAAAAAAGAATATAATCTAGGGACTTGGGCATTGTATGATAAATAAATGAAACAATATAATACTTTCAGAAACTGATATCCTGTATTTCTGAATTGAAAACAACTATGTGCTGCTAGAACAAGTCAGTGTGGTCTCTTGATAAACAAGTAACTTACTACATTTATTTATTTATTTATTCACTCATTCATTAATTCACTCATTCATTCATTCATTCATTCATTCAGGGAGACACAGTTTCCCTGTAGTCCCTGCTGGCCTGGAGCACTCTGTCTAGAACAGAGTGACCTCAGTCTCACAGAGATCATCCTACCTCTGCTGGGATTCAAGTGTGCACCACACTTGGTCTTAGTTGTCATTTTTTTGAGCCTCAGTTTTATCCCCAATGGATATGTAATACTATCAGGAATATTGGATCAATATGGATAATATATATATATGAAATTAAATGAAAAAGTTCAGGGGCTGAAGAGAATGCTCAGTGGTGAAGAACACAGGTTGCTCTTGCAGAGAACGTGGGTTCAGTTTCTGGCACAAACACAGTGGCTAGCAACAATCAATAGCTCCAGTTCCCTGGGAACCTGTGCTTCTTCTGGCCTCCATAAGCACTGCACAACATCCATGTACTTACATGCAGGCAAAACACTCAAACAGAAAAAAAAATCAATTAAATGAAAATTTTAAGTCACATATGTCGGTATGGTAACCTATCTCGAAATTACTTCTTTTCCTGAGCAAAGGTGTGTGTGACGCCGGGTGGCCAGTGGTGAGGTTTTATTGTTCTGATTGTTGTACTAGAGAATGTAGCTCAATTGGCATGAGAGAGCAAACAAACCGAGACACAGGAGACCAAAGCTCAGTGGTGCCACTTGTGCTCCTGAATCCAGCCACAGTTTTAAATGCTTCAGGGGTATGAAACAACTGCTTTTTCTTTAATACTTTGTTAAATTTTATTTTAAGTTATTGAATACTAATTACCCCAAACCATATTTTTCCTTCTGTTCAATTTATGTAGACTATGCAATTTTGTTTATATCAGAGATTAATGATTTGTTTGCATTAGTATATCAATGATGCCAGGTGACTGTAAAGAAACACACACCTATTCAAGCTCTAAT